ACGTCTTTTACACGTGCATTTATAGTCCACCATGACCCTCCATGAAATCCTTGTTAAATATGCAAAAGCTGGGCTTAATCCTCGCATGGTTTATACCGCAATAATTAATTTAATTGCCGAAGTAGTTTTTAAGAGGTTGTGAAGACGTCCAATGGCGTCCTTTACACGTCTAGTCTGGCTGTGAACGTCCACTGGCGTCTTTTGCACGTCTAGTCTAGCCAGACAGAAAACAATTATCAGGAATTATCTTTATGAAATACACTTGCAAAGCCACTGCATTTATTCATGTTGTGGATCAGTTGTAAGTTGACGTCCAGTAGGTGACGTCCTTTACACGTGCATTTATAGTCCGTCGTGACCCGCTATGAAATCCTTATGAAATATGAAAAAACAATTATGCTTACACCTTGGCTGATATTGCAGTAAATAATTTAAATGCCCCAAATAGTTTTTACGAGGTTCTGAAGTACAATTACGTCCTCAACCTTTACACTTAACTGTGCTACCGAGATTTGATAACAAATCCCGCGATATGATTGATTATCTCGCGATAAAGCAACTACGCAGCCAATTTCCTGTTTTTTCTTCTTCAACCACGACGAGGCGAGAAGGACTTGATGATCGGGGGCAATTTGTTGTACAAAAAGTTGACGAACTACTACAAATCTGCTGTTTGGTAAGTACAATTTGTATTATTTTATAAATGTGATTTGAGTTTTGTAATTGGACTCAGGAACCGGAATAAATGATGCGTACACTTTCAACTGAAAGGTTTGAGTTTGGATAAAATTAATTTGGCAGAATTTCAGATTGCGACCATTTCTCCGCCGGTGAGACCAGATTTTGTTATAAGTCGCGCTTACGCGACAGCAACGTTGCAAAAGTCAAACAAAATGAAAGCGGAACGAATCTGCGAATCGAAAGCGGAACGAATCTTGCGCTACTCCTGCACGGACCCTTTATTGGTTCGGACCATTATGGATCTTTCATAATATTTCAGGTCCAAGTCAGGTTATGTTTTCCATAAGTGTTAACATAATATCCCAAAACGGCTCTGTGATTGACTGTGTTTATATCTTACACTACAATAAAATTAACTTTTTGTGCAGGTAATGCACAATGAAAATAGGCACATATCTGGATGGAGACTATCTGATTCCTCAACCATGGCCTCAGCTTTAAATGTAAAGTATTGACTGTATATTTTTGCACATTTGATTATAAATACTGTCTGTATGCAAAGAATAAATCTTATGTTTTTGATAATATTTGGAATGTAATGTGAGTGTATTATTGTCACTTAGAAGACAGTTAATGTACTCTCTATAAGGCAGTTTTCCAGTTTTGCTCTGTTACAAGTCTCTAACCATACTCTAAAGATTACCAATTTTGTGATCACTTTTGTGAATTTTATTTTTCAATTTGTCTTTCAGGGTGACATAACGAACAGCCATCTGTCAGACGTAGAATTCAGGAATCCTTCTCCAGGCCATCTGGCAAAACCGAAAGAGGCATGGCATTTTTCTTGTTTTATGTCCTTCACAAAGTTTTGTTTGTTTGTTTTGTAATGGTGTTTGTTTATTGATTAAGGTGTCTTTACTTACTTAAAATATTTTTCACCCATTTGTTTTTAATGTCTATAGTCACCAGTTCCAAATTCTGCATTATCATCCCAGTCCCAGAGGACACCCCATTGTATGTTAGAACTTTGCTATTTGCATCTTATTTTTTTTTACACAATTTACATTGAATACAAATATAGAGCCTATGTCTGTCATTGCTCAAGAAAAAGCTAAAGTACAGCCAGCTAATTTCATAGTATCTAAGTCATTATTACACTGTTAAGTGAACATTTGAACTGCAGTCGTATTACACAATTTAAAATATGCGCAGACCAGGTGTAGCCAACCCTGGTCCCCGAGAGCCACTACCTGCTTGTTTTCCAACTATTCCTGCCCTTGCAGCTTCTGAAAACACACCTAATCCGTTAATAGTCAGCACTCAGCAGTAGGACAGGGATAGTTTGGAAATAGCAGGAGTGAGGCTCTCGAGGACCAGGGTTGGCTACCTTAGATTTAGTCATTATGAATGATCATTATATGGCTACAATAGTTTACTAGGTAGAATTGGATAACAATATGTCTAAATCCTTGCTACATCCACAAAGTAGGCCTAGTTAAAATAAAACAATATTGTTTACTGTTTTTTTTTTAATTTATTAAACTACTCTCTTATTTAAGTCTGTTATGTTTTCATGAACAGAATTTCCTAATGTTGTCTTGCCTCTTGACCGCTGCATTCGGGAGAGAACACAGAAGTGAGGGTATGTACGTTAATGTTTTTTTCCAGCCATGGGGTTGTCCTATCCAAAACTGAATTTACATTTTACAAATATTTATTTAATACATCTCTTGTTCCTTAATGTAATTTTATTTTAATTATTTCACTCTTCAAACGCATTTAGTCCAGAACATCTTTTATTGGCATAAGATTATTATGCAGAAAAATAACATTGCTATTTTCAGACATTTTCAAACACCGTACGTAATTAACCTAAAAATGAGCCTTTTTTTAAACCGCATTCTCTTCCCTCAGATGCTGTGATTGTGACGAGGTGGAGCCCAAACGCCACAGATTAAGATGTTGATGCAGCAATGGCGAACACCTGAAGCACACTCAAGAAGAGCTGGATATAAAAATAGCCATAAACAAAACCAAAACCTTAAAGCCATAAACAAATTTCAAAGACTCTAAATAATTTTATTTATGTCTGTTTAACAGTAATGCAAGACTGAAGTAACTGAAAGTTAGTACTGCCACAGCTCTGACTTCTATTTATCAATGGTGGAATATTTTTAGAACGACTTTTCTGTAATATTATAGAATGTGTTGACTGTTCCTGTACTTTTGTTATATTCTGGTTTGATTAGTGGCTGCTTAACCTTAATGTGAAACTGTCAGAAAATGTCATTGTACTATTTTTATTATTATTATTTTTAGCAGTTTAACAACTGGAAGACATTTCAAATGTAATATTCTCAATAAAATGTTGTTGTAAATTATAACTCATTTGCTTTTGTCCAGAAGTAATGTGTTGATGTAGACGTGTTTAAACCGTTTTATAGACGTCCAGGTCTGACCGGACCGATTTTGGACCCGTTTTAGAACCTAGTAAAGTTCAGATGTGTAGAAATATCCTGATTGATTGACTTTCACGAACTTATACAATATGGGTGTAATTATTTTATATGCAGGAATATATATAAAAAATAAGCCCATTTAGACGTCCGTGGACGCGCAGAAAAGACGTGCAGTTCACGGCCAGATGACGTCGAAGACGTCGGTTCAACTTCCATTTTGGAACTATTTTTCAACCATGACGGGACGTCTCGGATGGACGTCTTTTCAACGGTCAATAAACGTCAAAATGTTTGCTGGGCAGTGTCGTTAAATGCTAAAATGCCAATAACCTTTACGTAAAGAATTCATTTGTTAACTTTTTTGTGTCCACTTACCTGAGTAAATGTTTTAAGAGCTTGGTAGCAAGATGCTGCAGGGTCAAATTAATTTCTTAACAGAACACACACACACACACACACACACAAGCGCGTGGACTCCTGGAACGCCCCTTCGGCTGGCAGAATGCAGCTGCTGCTGTCATGAATGAAACATTTCATTCTATTAACTGCGTCACGTCACTATCACAGAATGTAATTAGAATCACAATTGGACTGAACTGGAACCCTATCAAAAACGGGTTTACTGCATATGACTGATTCCACATAGAAGTGTGATGTGGAAGGCGTGAGATATTCGAGTTTATCTCTGGAATCAGTGTGTGAGGACATGGACTCACTGCTGCTAAATGACTGCCTCTCCTTATGTCCTCGAGGGTTCCCATGGTGACAGGCTGCATGATAAATGTGAATGAAATGAAAATATGTGTGAAGGAGATATGCTGGTGTCTTTTTTTTTTTTTTACAAGATCGTAACAGGTTTAATCTTGACATTAAAACCTGACAATTCATGAAATTACTATAATAACACAATAGAATAGAATAACATAACAATGTAAAAAATAAGTTAGGACATATACAATAACATTGAATAGAATATCAACAGAATAGAACAGAAGATTGTAAAAAAATGATGATGGGCACATAACAAAAAGTTGTTGATTAATTCTTTAGTTAAGTCTCCTGGAACTTGCTTAAGTTCGCCTGGGTGGGTTGTGCTGGAATCCCCTGCCCTGGTTAAATGGTTAATTCACACAAAATTGACAATTCTGTTATTAATTACTCACCCCCATGTCGTTCAAAACCTGTAAGACATTCGTTCATCTTCAGAACGCAGATGAAGATATTCTTAATGAAATCTGAGAGTTTTCTGTCCCTCGTTTGACATACGCAACTACTTTCAAGCCCTAGAAAGGTAAAGACTTCATTAAAGTATTCCATGAGACTACATGTAGGCTATTTAATAACAATTTATGAATCGACGCAAGTGCTTTATTTGTGCAAAAAACAAACAAACATAATTTGCCACATTATTTACAAAATATCAATCTCCAATGCCAATTCACTAGCTCGACGCATGCGTGCTGTGATGACGCGAAAACAGCGTGAGCGCGCGTTGGAGGTAAACGAGTCACACTGATTACTGTGTTTCTACCTTTCTGGGGCTCGAAACTGGTAGTTTCGTAGCTGTCAATGGAGGGACAGAAAGCTCTCAGATTTCATAAAAAAAAAAAAAATAATCTTCATTTGTGTCCCAAAGATTAATGAAAGTCTTACGGAACGACATGAGGGTGGGTCATGACAGAGTTTTCATTTTTGGAACTACCCAGTACCCTTTAAAATAAAATTGCAAGAGTGAAGTACACACGGCAACAGTCCTGTCTCTACAGTGTTAAATGATCACACACACACACACACACACACACACACACACACACACACACACACACACACACACACACACACACACACAGTGCACTAGTGATGCCAGCAGGCTTCTGCACATGCTCAGTGTGTTCCCCCATCATCTCATCACGCAAAATCAAACGGAGCTCGCGCATCTGCAACACCTGAAGACGCGCTCTCGCCTCTCGCGTCCCCTCAGCGTCTTCTGGGCGTCCGTGCTGTCGCGTCGCGGTTCTCCACGCGAGCGGGTCGAGTCCTGTTTAAATGTGTGTGTAAGCGGACAGTGCTGGAATCAGGAGCCGAGGGACATCATCATGTCGTGGGCACTGGAGGGATTTCTCTGAAAGCTGCTTTTGATTATGGAGTTCAACACCTCATCCGTATTTGAGCAGCACAAAGGTAAGCACTGCACACACACACACGCATGCACGAGCTGATAACAAGAAGGGGTTGCCATGGTAATGCTTATCAGCGGGGTTTGCCGAAGCCCATCATTTGTTTGTCTTGCCATCTGTTTGTGTGTAGGTATAACCCACCAGAATGAAGAATACTAGTGACTATGATTATGTTGATTAGTAAAACATTAGGTCAATATTCAAAAGCTTCATGATATGAAATATAGTGGGGTTAGCCTATATACCCCTGAGTTTTCTGTTGTATTCTGATGAGGTCTCTGTCAGCAGATCCTCCTTTGCAATATACCCAACAAGCTCCCTTGACAATATAAGCTCAAAGGAACATGATTGGATTTCTCTGTGGTTGTTAAAGCCGTAATGATTTCTCAGTATATTTCATATGATCAACGTTGTCTCCACAACTCCTTAGGATTCTCCAGTTGACAACAGTAAGATTACTGAATAAAAGCTTAATAAATACAATTTTATTTGGGAAGGATTTGGAGAGAAATGTTTGAATTCATATTGAGATTTCTCACTTTTGATTCCAGGAAACCAGAAAAAAGATCTCCGGTCTATTTAATCTTATTGGTTTTTAGAAGAAACATATGAGAGAAATGAATTATTTTAAATAGTAAAGTCCATAGCATCAAACACCTGCTTCTCTCGATCTGGTGATTAATTAGGAGTGGAAATATAATTATAGCGTATGTTGATTCATCTGAAGCTGTGACAACTTCCCCTTATTCTTCTGTAACTCAGTCCTGAAATGTTCAAGCACAAATGTGTCTGTACATCGCATTTTATTTACACCCGACAGATGTTGTTGAGTGATCCGTTTGATCCGTTTCCCTCTCAGAAGCTGCGGAGGAGGTTGATCTGAATGTGGTGTACCAGGCGGCAGCGAACGGAGACGTCAACACACTGACCGCCACCATCAGAGAAGACCCCTCCATCCTCGAGTGCTGCGACGGGGAAGGTGTTCTCTCACACCACACACTGCACTTCTTTCATACACTCAAGATAACTTTCATATTAGTTCTACCCTTGTGAAAGATGCACACTTAAAGGAGTAGTTCACTTAAAAAAAAAAACTTTTGCTGATAATTTACTCACCCCCATGTCATCCAAGATAATAATAATAATTAACTTTATTTTATATAGCACCTTTAAAAGCAGCTTCTCAAAGCACTGTACATAAAATCATAATTCACCAGAATAGACAACTGTCACTCATAGATTTCAGATGTGTTCATGGAACAGTTAACAGATTACACTGTGAGGAACACAGTCTGCGATTTGAAGTATAACTGGTTAAAAGATCAGATAAGTATTGCGTAGCCAAGCAAGCTGTGTACAACCTTGAATGTCAGCATCATGATCTTAAAATCCATACGGAACCTGACTGGGAGCCAATGTAAGGACTTCAGAACTGGCGTAATGTGGTCATATTTCCTGCTTCCAGACAGGATCTGGGCGGCAGAGTTCTGAACACATTGCAATTATATGTCTTTCTTTCTTCAGTCGATAAGAAATTAAGGTTTTTGATGAAAACATTCCTTTATTTTTATCCATATAATGGACTTCAATGGGAACCAAACGGTTCAAGGGCCAAAAGACAGTTTCAGTGCAAACTGTTCAAAGGGATTTAAACGATTCCAGACGATGAATAAGGGTCTTGTCAAGTGAAACAATCGCGCACTTAATAAAAAAATGTGTTCTTAAAAAAAAACATCACATTACGTTCGCAGTTAGGTACTGTATATATTTTATAGTCTATTATTACAGTAATAAGTTCTCTTTAAAAGGTATGATGAAGTGTACTTTTTTCACACGGGTTGATGCATCACTGTTCTGAAACTGTATTTCAGATGGAAGTGGACCATTGTGATTGTTATTAGTGGTGTTTGACAAGGCAACTATCATGTTGCTCATAGTTAAGGTCACCCATTTGAACAAAAGCCTTTGTATCAAACTTTGACGCATAATTTGTTAACGCTGCTCATATGACATATGTCAAATCATGTAGAATGTTGAGGAGAGCTGTGCCTTGCATTTGTGCAATATTTAGAAACATATACGTGATTGAAGGTGGGATGTTTTGCTGTGCCAAGCAACCATGCACCAGCTGGCAGCCACCCACTAGCCTAATTAGGAAAAAATATTTCATGAGAGCATTCATCACTCAGAATTTGAAAAACTCTGATCATTGCCATACAATCAATCACACATATTTCTGTGACAGAAATAATCCATCATCATAAACAGATTAGAGTAGGGCTAACCTTTGTTGAAGTTTTAATGAGAACTGCTGTTAAGGTCTTTGTTTGTTGACGACAGGCTCCACGCCGCTGATGCATGCTGTGTCTGGGAGACAGGTGGATACGGTCAAACTGCTGCTGAAGATGGGAGCTTCTATTAATACACAAGACGCCTGTGGACGGACCTCCCTCTCTCTAGCCACATACCTTGTACGTAAACACTTCCTTTTACAAAGTTTTAATTTTGTTTTTAGGCTCTACTAGAATATGTTTTCATGATTGAATGTTAAAAAAACACATTATTTTCCCCATGTCTGACATCGTTGCAGCTCCTCTTTCCCAGTCTGTTTGTAACGCTCTGGGATGTGTTTCCCGAAAGCGTCGTTATCCAAATATGTTTCGTCGTTATCAGCATAGTTCAACGAGTCTGTGTGTCCCGAAACTATAGCTCTAACGAATATTTGCAAGCAGCATCGCACAGTTGTGTGTTTGGAATGGCAAATCTCGATCTGTGGTTAGAAGCATAGTTTCTTGTTTGCATGACACGTGGACTCATTAAATCCTTATTTTGAGTAAAATAAGCAAGCTGATATTCAGTACAATCTACATCTTTTATTTCCAAATACATACAAATGTCATTTACGTCTTTTAGTTTGTCAAGAGATTTAAAGCTGCGTTTTTGAAGACTGCGCATGTGCGAACATGCTCTAGTAGATAAGAACGAGCCTATGATTGAATCTGTAAATAACTGTGAAAAATTGGAAATAGTCTTCAGATGGCATATCCATAATTAGCAAAAATATAATAGCATATTAGCTCATAATATCATAGCATACATAATTAGCATATCCACAATAGCAAAAATATAGTATTAATTAAATCTCAAACAGATTTGTTAAAGTCCCCCTGTAGTCAATAATTTTACCCCTTAAAACTCAAATTTGATCACCAAAATGACATATTTAAAAGTTTTTCCTTGAAAAAATGTCTTTATGTCTTAAAAAAGCTTGAATGCTCGGTTCTATGAATATGCAAATAAGCCCCACCTTCACTCTCTCACAGCAGCTCAAAGATCCACCTGTTGACGATCACAGGTTGATCTGATTGGTTATAAGGTAGCTTTTGACGCCAGCGATTTCAAACTGTGTTTTTGAGACTCTTTGGTTCACTGCAGTTTTAGGGAGGAAATAGTCAGCAATGCTGTCGACTAATGAATTTACACATGGTTTGTCTAAAAGCATATTTAAAAACACCACACAGACATAATAACAACATTAAAACCGTCTCAGGATACGACTGTAACCATATTTCCCTGAGACAGGGAACGTGACGATGCGTCAATGACGCTGCTGGAACGCCTCTGCGTGAATGCGTCTGAGCACTTGGGTCAACTAGTCCAATAGCGTCCACGTCACGACCAGGAACGGATAAAGGTACACCCGGAATCGCCCCTCGTCAGCTTCAACAGAAAGTCGAAGCCGTCAATCTCAGCGATGAAGGAGGTATGGCAAAGTGACGCATCGTCTCGTTCCCTATCTCAGGGAACTATGGTTACAGTCGTAACCTGAGATGTTGCCTTTCGGGAACTCGCGATGCGTCAATGACGTTGTGGGAATGAGAATGCCCGAACGCCATACATCCGAGAACCTGTCTGTTACGATATGAAGACACAACCTCACAAACGTAAGTGGTAAGGACCAGCCAGCTGAGTCACACACCTCCTGAATAGATACCCCTGAGAGTAAGGCTTTAGAAGCCACCATATCCCTAGTAAAGTGGGCTCTGATAGATAAAGGAGAAGGATGGCCCAGAACCTCATATGCAAGAGAGATAGCCTCGACTATCCACTTGCTAACTGTCGGTTTAGATGCAGGAATGTCCTTCTTGTGCGGACCAAAGCACACAAAGAACTGGTCAGAATTTCTCCAACGTGAGGCTTTGTGAACATAGGTATGCAGTGCTCTGACTGGACACATGAGGTTCAGTTTCTCCTGGTCTGAATCTTAAAAGGAGGAGGACAGAACGCCTGCAGAAGGATAGGCCTAGGTATGTTGGTTGGAACCTTAGGAACATGACCTCATTTGGGATAGAGGAAAACCTTAGCCGTACCGGGTGCAAACTCAAGACATGAAGAAGGCACAAACAGAGCCTGGAGGTCTCCTACTCTTTTCAGAGAGGAAATAGCTAGAAGGAACACAGTTTTGAGGGTCAGAAATTTATCTGAGACAGACTCAAGAGGCTTGAACGGAGAGACAGATCAACCTTCTAGAACAACAGCCAGATCCCAGGATGGGATTCTGGAACGAACTGCAGGCCTCAGGGTACCACGGAGGAAATGAATAATAAGAGGATCTTTCCCAACAGATAAACCCCCAGAGGGAGCATGGTAGGCAGCGATAGCTGCAACATAAACCTTCAGAGTAGAAGGGGATAACCCTGACGAGAAACGGTCTTGGAGGAACTCATATATTGAACCAATGGTGCAATTAGCTGTAAAAACTCTCCATTTCAGGCCATAAAGTCTCCTCGTGGATGGAGCTCTGGAGCTTAAAATGGTCTCTACAGCCTTGGTTGAGAGCCCAGTTTCTATGAGTCGGGCCCCCACAGAGGCCAGACCCACAGTTTGAGTGCTTCTGGGCGAGAATGGAGAATATCTCCTCCCGCCTGAGAAAGAAGGTCCCTCCTGACTGGCAGCTCCAAGGGAGGACTGTCTAGAAGGGAAATCAGGTTTGAGAATCAAATTCTGCTTGGCCAGAACAGAGCTACTAACAAGTCACTCGCTCCATTCTGGCGGATCTTCTCTAGAACTCCTGGGAGCAGAGCGAACGGGGGAAAAGCGTACAACCGTAGCCTCGGCCACATCTGTACCAATGCGTCCAGCCCCAGCGGGGTTTGTTGCGTGAGGGAAAACCACAGTGGACAGTGCGTCATATCCTGAGACACGAACAGATCCACCTGAGCCTGGCCATAAACCTCCCATATGTGCTCCACCACCTTGGTGTGGAGCCTCCATTCCCCGGGCCTCAGCCCCTGTCTCGACAGGATGTCTGCTCCAACATTCTGATGTCCCGGCAATGATGTTTTCGTCAGTGATGACGATAACGAAATGATTTTGTTGACGCACTTTTTTATGACGATAACGCAACAATGACAAGCTAAAAATGGCTCTAAGGTGACTAAAACATGACTTGACGTTTTCGAGTTTTCGTTGATGACGAGTCCGAACGAAAATGATTATGTAAGTCTGACGTTCACAATGCAAGTAATTTCTGCCTGTTTTGCGAAATCTGTCTGTATTGAGCTAAAAAAGCTGCCTATTCCTATCCTTGTTTTGGGTACGCCCAGCACCCGGCTGCTACGCGTGCACCATATTCCACACAACAACAACACAGTTTTTATCGTAGTTTTTGTACCAAGTCAAGTCAATGGAGTCGGACAAAAACTACGATAAAACCTGTTGGAAAGCATATTTTGCAGTGATTTTTGTGTGAGCATGTCAGTGAACATCCCTGAACACTCGGTGAGTTTCACGTCTTTGTAAACTAAAGTTTAATGCGTTTTATGAATGATTGTTTTAGGTGGGGGGTGCTAACACACAAACCTAAAATTCTCGGCATAGCAGCATTTTTCCACGCAGGCCGAACAGCATTTGTCCACGAACGCAGACCCCCCTGGTAATTTACATAGGAGACCACCGTCTGTGCAAACAAGCATGTGAGGTCTACTCAGGTCTACCAGGGAATGTCTCAAAGCATTGAAGACGGCCATCATCTCCAGGCAGTTTATGTGCCACGAAAGATGATGACTCGCCCAGAGACATTGAGCTGAGCGACCTTCCATAACCTCTCCCACTGCATGACACTGCATGCTCCGCTACCAAACAAATGACACATAGCTCGTGTGTATCCCCACCCGTAAGGAAACGAGGGCAAGGAGGAACACACTGCTTGAACACTTGTTTGGATGCCATTTCATATAATATTGACTTCTTGTATAACTGCTTGTATAACTGCTGCTGAGGCACAGAAGCTGACATTCCGGATGTGCTTTTATCCTTTCCTGGTCATGGCATCACCCGCCCGTGATGCTCATTCTCGCCATCGGACTAGTTGACACAAGTGTTCAGACGCATTCACGCAAGGGGCGTTCCCACAGTGTCATTGACGCATCGCGAGTTCCCTCGAAAGGGAACTGGATAAATATTCTGAATGTTCTGATCCAATCTGACTTCTGACCTGTAATGCTGCCTGAATCATAATCATACACTGTTCGTTCGTTGGTCAGAAGAGAACTGGCCCCTGACTGAGCCTGGGTTCTCCCAAGGTTTTTTCTCCATTCTGTCACTGATGGAGTTTTTCTATGGATTTTGTTCTTTGCCACTGTTGCCTTGGCTTTTGGCTTGCTTAGCTGGGGACATTTAATATTCAACAATATTATTGATCTGCCTTACTTAAGGTGGATGATGACGCAATTTTCCTCTAGAAACAAACTTTGTTGTATTTTTTCATGTTATCACTGTAAAGCTGCTTTGATACAATCTGTATTGTACAATCTGTACTTTATTATAAATAAAGGTGACTTGACTCGAAAAATTCACATTTCTGCCTTGTTTGTGTGCGCTGTTGTCAGTGAATTGTGAGCTGTCATGTACAAAGTTGCAGTGACCTTCATTTCTTTGACTGAATGAAATGGTTGCTTATTGTTGTGTATGACCTTTAATGTAATCTGTTGTGGTTTTTAACTTCTGCAGGGTTGGCTGGAAGGCTGTGTGTGTTTGCTTCGGAACGGGGCAAAGCAGAACATTCCCGATAAGAACGGACGTTTGCCAATTCATGCTGCTACTGCTGAAACTGACTTCAGGTAACAAGGAAAATAAATAGAAGTTGTTATTGCAAATAAGTTAATAAAACAAGAGGTAGTGAGGAGTACAGTAAAATTACTTTCTGTGCTTTTGAAAAGATGACGAGATTGTAATTACTAAACAGGAGGAAATCAAATACATAAAAATTTGATTCTTACACTAAAACCTCTTTTTATACTTTATGTTCTTGTTATAAACATCCATCAGTTGATAACGTACTGGAAATAATGAGTTAAGATATTAAGATATGTTGCTAAAATGTCAACATGAAACCAAAAATTCATTTCGTTAATGTACATTCCTTGATTCATCAGTGCATGTTATTCTGAAAAAAAGGTGAAAAAAATGTGTTTTCTTCAAAATAATAATAATTGTCACGATCATGTTGTGTTGAGGTTCATTGTCATGTTCTCTTTATAGTTTTCACTTCAATTCTTGTTAATGGTTGGTTGTCATGGTTTCTGATAAGTTCACACCTGTTCCTGGTTCCGTTGATTTTGTTCTGTACTGTTAATATTTAATGTGGTCTTGGTGTTCTATTAAAAGTAGTCTTCATTCTGCGACACATCTTTTTTTGGATTGTAAACTACATCGTAAGAATAATGTGCTCTGCCTCTGAAAAGAATGCTTGATTTCACCAATCACTTTTAATTTTCAACCCCTCCCAAAAACCATCCAAATACAAACCCAAATTCCATAAAAGTTGGGATACTGTACAAATTGTGAATAAAAACAGAATGCAATGATGTGGAAGTTTCAAATTTCAATATTATATTTAGAATACAACATAGATGACATATCAAATGTTTAAATTGAGAAAATGCATAATTTTAAGGGAAAAATAAGTTGATTTTAAATTTCATGGCATCAACACATCTCAAAAAAGTTGGGACAAGGCCATTTTTACCACTGTGTGGCATCCCCTCTTCTTTTAATAACAGTCTGCAAACGTCTGGGGACTGAGGAGACAAGTTGCTCAAGTTTAGGAATAGGAATGTTGTCCCATTCTTGTCTAATAAAGGCTTCTAGCTGCTCAACTGTCTTAGGTCTTCTTTGTTGCATCTTCCTCTTTATGATGCGCCAAATGTTTTCTATGGGTGAAAGATCTGGACTGCAGGCTGGCCATTTCAGTACCCGGATCCTTCTTCTACGCAGCCATGATGTTGTAATTGATGCAGTATGTGGTTTGGCATTGTCTTGTTGGAAAATACAAGGTCTTCCCTGAAAGACACGATGTCTGGATGGGAGCCTATGTTGTTCTAGAACTTGGATATACCTTTCAGCATTGATGGTGCCTTTCCAGATGTGTAAGCTGCCCATGCCACACGCACTCATGCAACCCCATACCATCAGAGATGCAGGCTTCTGAACTGAGCGCTGATAACAACTTGGGTTGTCCTTGTCCTCTTTAGTCCGGATGACATGGCGTCCCAGTTTTCCAAAAAGAACTTCAAATTTTGATTCGTCTGACCACAGAACAGTTTTCCACTTTGCTAGAGTCCACTTTAAATGAGCCTTGGCCCAGAGAAAACGCCTGCGCTTCTGGTTACCGTTTAGATATGGCTTCTTTTTTGACCTATAGAGTTTTAGCCGGCAACGATGAATGGCACGGTGGATTGTGTTCACTGACAATGTTTTCTGGAAGTATTCTTGAGCCCATGTTGTGATTTCCATTACAGTAGCATTCCTGTGTGTGATGCAGTGCCGTCTAAGGGCCCGAAGATCACGGGCATTCAGTATGGGTTTCCGGCCTTGACCCTTATGCACAGAGATTGTTCCAGATTCTCTGAATCTTTGGATGATATTATGCACTGTAGATGATGATAACTTCAAACTCTTTGCAATTTTTCTCTGAGAAACTCCTTTCTGATATTGCTCCACTATTTTTTTCTCAGCATTGGGGGAATTGGTGATCCTCTGCCCATCTTGACTTCTGAGAGACACTGCCACTCTGAGAGGCTCTTTTTATACCCAATCATGTTGCCAATTGACCTAATAAGTTGCAAATTGGTCCTCCAGCTGTTCCTTATATGTACATTTAACTTTTCTGGCCTCTTATTGCTACCTGTCCCAACTTTTTTGGAATTTGTAGCTCTCATGAAATCCAAAAGGAGCCAATATTTGGCATGGCAATTCAAAATGTCTCACTTTCAACATTTGATATGTCATTTATATTCTATTTTGAATAAAATATAAGTTTATGAGATTTCTAAATAATTCCATTCTTTTTTTACTCAAAATTTGTACAGTGTCCCAACTTTTTTGGAATCGGGTTTTGTAATTTTCTGACTTAGAAAATCAAGACCTACATTTTTTTTCATTGATTATCTTGTTCGCATTCTATGATGGAATTAAAATGGCGTATATGGCATTTACGGAGTTATAAACATGCTTTGTTTGTTTGTTTGTTGAAGGCTCATGGCTGTGCTGCTACAGCAGTCAACACTGTGTGAAATCAATCATCAAGACAATGAGGTGAGTCACAGAACTTGTAGTGTACTTCAAATCTTAAAAATATATATTATTTAAAAAGAAAACTAATTGCAGGAAATATACTTTAATTAAATAAAAATACCAACACTTTTTTTTTAAACTTAATTAAGAACACATTTAACCCTCTGGTGTCCCTATTGTGGCAGTCAAAAAGGGCTTTTTTTATTTCAAAGAAATGAATGTATTCAATTTTAATTCAATAATGATTTTTAATTTAATATTTGGTATTTTTAGGGGATTTTATGGTACTAAATGGTATTTATGCAGTAGTTATACACCATTTATGACCACGTTCTGAGCATTGATCTGCAAATTAAATTTCCAACTTAAACTGTCAAACCGGTAAAGTACACTTTGGGCTTTGAGTTTGGTCTCTTTTAAAGTCAACATATTGGCTGAAGCGGCACTGTTCAGACCTATTGGTGTATGATATTAAAGTACCGCAAGAGCCTTTAGAGAATAGATGGCTCTGTTTGCTTTTAAATCCCTCTTGTTGTGGTAGGCCTACTTTGGTGCCATACAACAATCGGTAAGTTAGTAGTTTGTTGAAACTGGCGGTTGGGTGGGACATTTCCCAAACACTCTGTAATAGGTTTGTTCAAGGCAAACACACCTATTTTCATAAAGGCAAAAAATCTTAACGTCTATAATAGGCTTCTATTTCTTTATTTTGATTTTGATTGGCCCATTTGTTCAAAAAGTTTAATCGGGATCAGAATGATCTGAATTTGGAAATTGTGCTATCCAGGATCAGATAATCCATTTAACTTTTGTGCCGATATTTCAAAGCAAATTTGGATTGGATCACCTTGATCCAGATGCACACTTACATATTTCAATACTTTTCAGAAAAGTGATGAAAAAACCCCACTCTAAATGAGGATTATTTTTTGGTGCCAAAATCTCTTTTTCACTTTACAGTTAGGCTACTGAAAGGCTATCTAGCCTAATATCTATTTCTAATTTATTACATCAACAGTTAATATATATATATATATATATATATATATATATATATATATATATATATATATATATATATATTACATGATACAAATGTTGTAGTTTTTGACCAGTTTTAAGTTTTATACAATTTTTGTTCCTGAAATCCACCCTTCTGCTGGGATCAGTATAATCCTGTTATTGTTGTTGTCGTTGTTTTTTGGATCAAATGTATCCCGATCTTACTAAAAAGTTTTGAACAACACAAACTGATGATTTGATCCAGATCAAAACCAAGATTGGATTTAGTGATCTAATCTGATGTTCAGCAATGTAGAATTTTCAAGATTTGATCCAATCTGATCAGATTCATTTTGAACAACTGATGCTCCATTTGCTATTATAAATGAACAGCCAAGAGCACTTGTGTAACCCGTGTAACGCTCTGATTGTTGTTTGGCAGGGAATGACAGCTCTTCACTGGGCTTCTTTCCACAACCGCCCAGAGCATGTGCAGGCCCTGCTGCAGAAAGGAGCCGACCCCACACTCGTGGACAAAGACTTTAAAACAGCGCTCCACTGGGCTGTGCAGGTACAAATCATTAACATAACATTGTAATGGTATATTATAGAAAACTAATTCATACTCTATATCTATATTTATACATAATTATAAATTATTTATAATTGTAATATCAGAAAAAGGTAGAAAAATGTAATGTTTCATCATACAATTTAATACTATTTATGTCTTAAATTCATTGTAAACATTGTTTTATATGTACATTTTATATGTGCAAGTTGATTATTAATTTATTAATGTCTCATTGTTTTATAACTATGTGGCAGAGTGGCAGCCAGTTAATGTGTTCCCTCATTCTTGACCATAATCTGGGCTCCTCTGTGATCAATTATGATGATGAGAATGGGAAGACCTGCGTTCACATCGCCGCCGCAGCGGGATTCAGCGACATCATCTATGAACTGTCTCGAATTCCTGAGACCAACTTGCAAGCTTTAGACGTGGATGAACGGTACAGTAAACCATAAACTGTATGTTGTGTGATATGTAAATGGAGAGTCACATTAGTTTTTAGGCATGTCTATGTTCAAGTGCTTTCTTGCTTACCATAGGAACAACTAAGACAAACTCGGTTTTGCTAGCAAAATAATTTTTGCCATTGGTTTGGACTGGAGGACATCATTTCACTTTTATTTGTAATGGGGCAGAATGAAACTTTGTGTTTGCATTGTAGCAGAAATTTGATTAAAATGTCAAAATTCTGAAAGGGGAAATAGTATGCCCTTTTTCAGTTCATTTCATTTCAGTTTATTTCTAAAGAACATTTAATAACAGCAACAAGGCTGACCAGATTGCTGTACAATACAAAATAAAAAGACTATAAGAGAACAGATAAATCAAGACAAATGTATTAAAAGCCAACGAAAAGAGGTGTGTTTTAAGACTAGATTTGACCAGCCACAGAAAAATCTCACTTTCAGCAAGTTCTTGGATTTTGTAGTAAATTTTTATCTTCAGATCTTAGGCTTCATGAGGGATTTTAGGGTAAATGAGGCCCTGGCCTGTTTACACGAGAACGCTCGCAGGTGAAAACGTAAAAATATTTTATCGGATGTGCCTTTTGTTAAAGGGTCATGAAACCCCCCCCTCTTTCTGCTCAAGTCTAGCTCAAAATCTTTTTGAAAAATGCAACTTAAATGGGCGTGGCTAGCTGTGAGAAGAAGGGAGGGAGTGTGTGAGGTATGGCCATCACGTCACTATCCCATGCATATCGACTGTCACTAAAAAGCAATGGTAAAACGTGAGGAAATGCTAGATTTTTATATATAGCTGGCAAAGTTAAAGTCTTATGAAATACACTGACACTTTATTATTGTCCTTTCAAAAGTAACTGAATGTCCTGCTACAAATATTAGCCTACAGTAATCGTAATTCTATTTAAAACATATTAATGTAGGCTACATGCATAATTATAATGTCATTATAAAATATATAGTGGTTTATATAGACACTATAAATACATTTCAGAAAAAAAAATATTAATTTTCCTCTTAAATCATTCCGTGTATAGTCTACTTGCCATCTGAACCCTCATAATAAAGATGGCTCTGCGGAGGTGGATGAATTCTCATTTTAGACACACACACACACACCTCTCTGAATGGATAGAAAGTCCTCGGGATACTGCATCACTCGCAAGACGCACTTGGATTAGTTGTCAACAAGGCGAAGTCCACCATTCTCCACTTCTCGGAGCTCTCTCGAGAAAATGTTTGCGGCACACACTATAGTTTAGATCATCTTTAGATGTGTCCGTGGTTAATGGCAAACCAACCGTCCAGAGTCAGAGTCTAGCCCTGGCAATATCGCGGGGAACATATACAACGCACTTGGACTTTGCACCATGAAAAGAAATACTTGCGTCCCATGATTGCCTCTCTCATCTACTACGCGATAGTTTAACATGTCTGTCGTTGGAAAGATCCACTTGGTGTCATGAATAATTAAGAGGCCGTGTCTTCTCATTGGATAAGAAAACTCAGTCTCATTAATAATTATGAGACAGCGATGAGTCATCAACGCACTGTGCAGTGCATGGCCACGTCACACGCTCCGATGAAGATTTTAAACTTGGAAGACGAAAAAAGCGGAAAAAAAACTCAAATTTAACCATTTTAACCTTATTATTAAATCTAACAGATGCTAACATTGTCTTCAATGTTGTTCAACACACATACCTCTGTTATAATCTCAGAAAATACGCAAAAAAGTGAAATCATCCTCCAGAGTTGAAATCTTAAAAACGCTCCACTATCGCGTTCCCGTCTAAAGGGTAAAAACGCAAAAGTCTGCTAGACAGGGAAGGTTGTACGTGGACTCGGCTCCACATCGCCACCTAGCCACAATTTCGAATTTCACACACTTTTGCGTCACCATATGCACGTAGATTTCCCACCCATACCGCTTGTCTAAACACAGAATAAAAAGTGATAACGCAGTGCCACTTGGCGTTTTCTCTTCAGATCGTTTCCATGTAAACATAGCCTTAGACATATGCACTCACCTAAAGGATTAATAGGAACACCTGTTCAATTTGTCATTAATGCAATTATCTAATCAACCAATCACATGGCAATCAACCAATCTGAGGCCTGCAGTTCCTACCAGAATTCCAGCTTGGTATCTGGCTCTTGTTCTAGAAGGTCTCTCTGCCGGTCCCTTTGCGCCTTTTGATACTGTTTCAGAAAAATTTCTTACCCTCAAAACTGTGTTCCTTTGAGCCATTTCCTCACTGAAAAGAGTAGTAGATCTCTAGGCCCTGTCGGTATCTCCTTCACGCCTTGAGTTTGCACCCAGGATGGTCAAAGCGTTCCTCTGTCCGAAACCCAGTTACATTCCTAAGGTTCCAACCATTGCACCATGGCCTATAGTACTGCAAGCGTTCTGTCCTTCTCCCCTCAAGGATTTAGACCAGGAGAAACTGAACCTCATCTGTCCAGTCAGAGCACTGGATACTTATGCCCACAGATCTGCCCAGTGGAGAAAGTCTGATCAATTACTGGTATGCTTTGGGCCCCCTAAGAAAGGCCTTCCTGCATCCAAGTAGACGATTAGCAAGTGGATAGTCAAGGTTATCTCTCTTACACATGAGGTTTTGTGTCAGCCTTCACCTTTGGCCACTAGAGCCCATTCTACTATGGGTGTGGCAGCCTCCAAGGCCCTAAACTGGGGTGTCCATTTAAGAAGTTTGTGATGTAGCTGGCCGGTCTTCACCGCGTACGTTGTCAGATTTTATGACTTAGACATGGATAACCCAGGGTCTAGAGTTCTCATGTCATGATGGCGGGTTGAATGTGGCATTCGGGCATTCTCGTTCCCAAAGCGCCATTGACACATCGCAAGTTTCCTCAAAAGCGAACATCTCAGGTTACAACTGTAACCTCAACCTGTGATCGACTTGCTTCAGCGTTAGAAGATAACCAGATAACCGGTTCTAACCAGATGTGCTTTTATCTTTTCCTGGTTGTGACATTACCCACCTGTGACGTTCACTCTCGCCATTGGACTAGTTGACACGTGCTTCAGACACAATCACGCAGGGGCGTTTCCAAAGTGTCATCGACGCATTGTCTCAATTTGGGCTACAGTCATAACTTACAGGCATGATTTCTGTTTTTATGTCAGGACCCCTCTCCACTGGGCCGCCGCAGCAGGTAAAGATGACTGTGTGCAGGTTTTGTTGGAGCTGGGAGTGGAGCCCAACCCTCGAGATATTAACGAGAATACGCCACTCACATACGCCATGTACTGTGGACATACTGCATGCATCAAGCTCCTCTCCACTGAAAACAGGTTTGTCATTTGTTCTGTTTGTATTAAAATTGTGTTCTATTTTGTTGGCAATCAAAAAAAACAAACAGTTGAGTACAAACTGACATATCTGTGACTTTTTAAAGGAAGCACCCAACCCCCCCCCCCCCATTAGCACCAATAACCGCTGTAGTTTCACACTGTTGTTGAGGAATTTTGGCAAAACTATTTAGCAAAACTTCCCCCAATAGTTTATTGAAAAGTTAGGCAAAAGCGCACAGAAGACAGATCCCCAGACGGAGATTAGCGGAGAGGAATGGTATTCTGAGAAACAACTGAGGGTCGAGAGCCAAGATAATAGTACATTAAGACATCAAGTCACATCAAGAGAATGGCAGAGTATCATAAACAGGGAGAGCACTCTGAATATAGGGCAGAGATGGAGAGCGAGAGCAGGGCAAGACAGATGATGGCTCCCACCGCACAAGGCATAATGGTATCAGGAATTGGGAGAGAGCATCTGGATTGGTATTTTTGCAGCTGGACGATAAGACAACACATGTAAAAGTGTCCATGAATCCTGCCTCAAATTTAGTCTTTTGGCTAACCTGATGTATTTGAGGTTCCTGATTGGTCCACACCACAGATGGGACCACAGACCCTTCCAACTAGTGCCACCACTCACCCAGAGCCAGGCAAAAGCCTACACTGCATTTCCATTTTGTGGGAGGTGGGGCTGTCAAAATGTCTGAAAAGCTCAATTTGAATTTCTTTCTTAACCATTAGCAAAATTTGAATTATACTCGATTCTGAAGGCAATACTAATACTGAAAGGCAGTCATATGCCCACTAGAGGGTGCAAGCGAGCGCATTAAGCAAATGTAAACATGTAATGTAAAATAATGTAAAATAAAATGTAATTTCTGGAATGTGCATGAAAGAAAAATTAGGTAACGAAGTGCATAAAACTGTGTAAGTACATCAGTAACCTGAGAAAACACACTTCAACACACAGTGCATTGTACTACATGAACACAAAATAGCAAACTGATATTCACAAACAATCCACTTCCACATCAAAAACACCAGACACTCAACTTGATCTGTGCTGAGCTTTTTTTGATCTGAGCTGGGCGTCCAAGTGCTGAGCGTTTTTTGTTGACAATGTTTCCAGCTGATGAAAACACATGCTCCGCTCTAACCTATGTGGCAGGTATGGTCAAGTACATCATTGCCAGATTTTACCGCACAATTTTTCCTCCACCTGAGACGATTTTCGTCAGTAGGAAGCCTTTTTTGCTGACTTAAATTTTTTTAATTAACAACGCAGCTGCACTGCATTGTACTGGATAAGCTGACACTTCAGTAAAGTCCTCATCATATCTCGTGCTTCTTGACACACCAAAAATCTGCATGCAAAAATTTAGCTTTTTTAATTTTTTTAATATTAAAAATTTGAATTTTGACAGCCTTAAGGCCAATTTATACTTCTGCGTCGAGGTTACGCCGTAGTGTACGGCGTTGGCTTCGCACGTAGGCGACGCCGTCGTGAGCATTTATACTTCTGCGTTCAGGTATTGGTTGCTCTGCAGTATTGCTCCGAAACGCTAGTTGGCGGCGGAGGGTTTTAATGTTCCACTGTGTTTAGATTCCTCGCGGCTAGGTTACTACAAGCAATAGCGACTGAAAGAGAGTGGATCATGTTGGAGTTGGAGCTTATTGGGGTGGAAAAACAGTTCATTTTAGTGAAATTACTAAAACTGAAAGGCAGAAATGACAGAAGACGTCGGAGGAGATGGTACGTGTGGAAATGCGTGAGAAGGTACGTGCGGAAATGCGTAGGAGGAAATACGACGCTACCAAGCCGACCAATCACCGATCTTGTGGTCCGCGTCGTCGCGACGTGTAGTTACATTTTTGAAGAGGTGCGCGTCAGGCAACGCGGAAGGGTACGCGGTATGGGACGCGTCTGTGCGTATGCTACGCCGTACCTACTGCGCGCACCCTACGCAGAAGTATAAATTGGCCTTTAGTGGGGAGAAGTAGGGGCGTCAGTGACCTTACCATCCTCAGGGAACCTCTGGCAAAAACCTGATCATGGGTGCTCAAGGCTTATTGATGCACGAGTGGAGTGACGGCTAGCCCATCTGGTCCGATCAAAACAGAAGAGTTACTGTAGCCCGAATTGCTGAAAAACTTAATGCTACCAATGATAGAAAGGAATCAGAAAAAACACAGACCGGTTGTTGTTGCAGGATATTATTGTACCCTGTCCACTGCCGAAAGCACCTACAATGGGTATGTGAGCACCAGAACTGGACCATGGGAGCAACGGAAGAAGGTTACCTGGTCTGATCATGTTTTCTTTTAGATCAGGTGGATGGCCAGGTGTGTACACATTTCACCAGGGGAGAGATGCACTATGGGAAGAAGGCAGGTCGGTGGAGCCAGTGTTATGCCCTAGAGATAAACATGTTACTTTGACCACCTAAAGATTGTTGTAGACCATGTACACCCCTTCATGGCAATGGTGTTCCATGATGACTGTGGCCTCTTTTAGCAGGATAAGGATAAAAATAGAAACATTGTTGGGGGTCAAATGATTTGAGGAATGTGGCAAAGAGTTCAAAGTGTTGCCTTGGCCTCCAAATTCCCCAGATCTCAATGCGCTTTAGTATCTATGGGATTTTCTGAATCCATAAATAGAAATAGGTGGCAGAAACCACAGAAGAATGTGTTCAGAGTCCATGCCTCGACACATCCGAGCTCTTACACAATATTACACTGGTGGATTTAATGTTGTGCCTGATCAGTGTTTGATGATACTTAAATATATGATAGAAGGGTGGAAATAGACATATCGTCATGCGTGGATTGCCTCTTGAGTGACTGTGACAGTTTATACAGTAGGTCATCATTTTCACTGACACTTCATTAAAAATGTAACAAAAATGTAATTTAAAGCATGTTTCCATGAAATGCTTCCTTCCCAGTAAAATGATATAGTGCAGTCAACAATTTTTGGTTTGTTTATTTCTCATGCAATATGTAGCATAAAATAAGACATATGCAACTAAAAGTGACATGTGAAGGCAATTTGTCCTCTGCAGTAAAACCATCCAAGTTAGTGCACATACTGTACGAGTAGTGAATGGTGAACACACACACACACTGCAAACCATACTTTGTTCTTGAATCATTCAGATGTAAAATGCAGGATGAGTTTCATAAGTATTTATAAACTAAACTAAAGATGGCCATATTTTTTCACAGGTCTGACTCAAGCAGGCCAATGCATGCCCAAAACAGTGACTCTTCTATGCGCAAGGAGGGAAAATTTCGCATGCTAAATCACATCTTCTGCAAGAAGAAGAAAGAACTGCATCCTTCTCAGCAGATAGACTTGAGTCAAGAATGCCAGCTCAGAGAAGAGACGTCTGAGGTCGATGACATCATTACAATGTTTGATTGTGTTGTCGAACCGTTAGCCAGAGATGAGAGTGAAAACAGCTCTACTGTCAGAAAGCGAAATAATGAGTCTGAGAAAGCCCACCTGATTGAGGACACATCCAGCAAAGACTTCCTAAGTCTCCCACCCATACGCACACAGAGTCTTCCTCCGATTACTCTCGGTAAGTCTTTGCTGGCAGACTCTCAGGCTTTGGCCCACAGGACCGGTGGAGGTCACGTGGTTGGACATTTAGCGCACAGGTCGCAGAAGAGCAAAAGCGAGCATGACCTGTTTGATGGTAAACATAAAGATGAAAAAGCTGTGGGACTTGCATGGAAGACCGAATCCAGTCAGATACTGACTCACAAAGCCTGGATCTCAACTCCATCTGAACGACTGCTTGACAAGCTCCTGCAGGGAACTTCGAGTCCTTTAGATGTACTGTGCTCAAATCACTCACCATACATACAAAGAAATGACCACGGTAAGGTATTACATATTGGTAGGTAGATGATTCTTCAATTGACTCTTCGCTAAGCCCCGCCCTCCCTAGTTACTGTTGCTACGCCTGTCAAGCTTTCACGGCTGGCCCATTTATTATCCACAAGTTTCCTACGCCCCATGAGGCCTTGCGTCAAAAGTGGGCGCGACTTCCGGTTGGAAGTAAACAAAGCGCGATTTGACATGCTTGACACTCGTTCATTCAACAGTTGACAGTCATTCAAGTTATAGCGATCCAAACTAGCTAACGATGTGGGAACACAACCTCAACGAAATTAAAAAGGGTTAAATAACAGTACCTTTACCCTCCGCAGTAGTTGATTGGGAGTATTATAATAACATTATTAATTATCAATACTCATCAAGGCATGGTGACAGACAGTTGTGCGAGCTGACAAACAATTAAAAAAAAAATACACACTTAGTCATTGTGCTTTGGAGTTTATTCAAAATTATAAGTGAATGTGCTGCTTGAATACATTAACTGGCACATTTAGTATTCTTGTCAACACAGGCTTTGATCCTGAGTTTAGCTGTAACATCAGTAGCGAACAGCCAATCACATGCTGATAGAGTTTATAGAATATTAAGAATTTAAACAAATGTACACGGGAAGATTCGTCGTCTTTTGGGAGGTGATGGAAACTACAGTCGTTGGCAGGATCACTCTGATTTCGTTTTCAGCTTATGTTCAAAACAATCACGTTTAAGCCACTGAACTAGTTTAATCCGGTTATACATACAACCGCGAACAGCACATGTTGCTCCGTAACACCATCTCTCATAAAGATTTGCGTCTTTAAATAGTAAAATAATTCTCCGAAAAACAGCTAGCCTCTTCGCTAACTAACACACAAAATACCATTGGAATGCTACTTCCGCCGCCTCACCGGAAGTTTCACACACTTTATTTTTTACAGGAGCGCCCCTCGGAAACTTGTGGATAGTGTGGATGCACCCGGTGTCAGACATTTCAATGAGATAATTAGTAATTTTCGGCGAACAAGTGAAATATCTGAGAGAGCAAGACAAAAGTGACTACAGTATGCATTTGAGGGATATATTCACGACATTTTATGCAACCGATTAGAGAAGAATTTCTTAAAAATTGAAGTTAAAGCCTATAGTCCCAGCGCAAGCAGCAGCGCCTCATACGCTGACCGTTCAAATGGGAAACACAAATTGAGGAACAGCTATGTTCATACACAGCAGGGTATGTGAAAATAATCTTAATAATTATAAATCAAACAGCTTATCAATAAATCTTGTGGAATAACACTAATACCGGGAGAGCCGCGATCGGATTGGGTTAAGTTACTTAGTAAGGGGTAACGTTAGGACGTCGATTAACAAAATTCTGAAATATATTTTAAAGAATGTCAGTGAGCCTTGTCTTGTCTCTTTAATCGTCTTATTTTACGTTATCATTATGACCAAAGAACCGTCAATATTTCCAAGCAATAACGTTAGATGTTTTTGTTAAGCATGTCGACATTTACCAGTAACGCTAGTTGTGAATGGGTCTCTAAACACATTGCGTCACATAGACGCTAGATCACGCCAATCATTTCTCCCCTTGGCTTTTAGATTTTCTGGAAGGAAAACAATTCCTCTCCCGTGTCCAAACTTTTAGTATACCGGTATCAGATTTGCACGTTTCCCTCGTGCGAAAGCTTGCCAGACCTCCCGCGCATAGTTACGGTTGCTAAGACATGATTGGCCAGTGGCGGTTTTCGGGCGTGGCTTAGCGAAGGGTCAATTAGGTGAACATTTTTTGACTCTTCGTTAATTTTAAAAAAGCTGCTTTAGTCAGACCTTTCCTAATTTGGGCTTGCCTTGCCCCTTACCCGTCCCATACTTTTAAAGAGTACTTATTACGTATTATGTATGAACTTCACGTACTTGAGACTGTAAATTTATTATTACTTCTATTGTCTTTACCTTTATAAGGATTTATTATGGTAATCTAAAATATGTTTAAATATATTTGCGCATGCTTTATCACGTTGCCAGATCACATTGCCAGCAGTACATTTACATTTATTCATTTAGCTGATGCTTTTATCCAAAGCGACTTACACTTGCTATATATGTCAGAGGTCGCACGCCTCTGGAGCAATATAGGGGTTAAGTGTCTTGCTCAGGGACACATTGGTGTCTCACAGTGGATTCGAACTTGGGTCTCTCACACCAAAGGCATGCGTCTTATCCACTGCCAACTAAGTTTTCATTTTCAAGATTTCAAGTAGTTTTATGTCCCTCATTGAAGAAACACCCAGATATAAATTAGTGAATTGGTCAATAAAATGTACACTTCCAGCATTTCTTCAGTTTTTTGTCTGTGTGTTTCTCCTTTAAACAGCTCAAAATCATCTTTTCCCTCTGAGGGTTAGAGAAACTGCTCTCACACGAAACAGTCTTGCTCCCATCCGTGACCACTGCACTCACAGATGTAAGTCTAATCTTTACGTGCTAATGTCATATTTCCATGGTTCATGCAATACCCAGTTCATGATGCTAAAGAAAAGCATAATTATTAGATGCATTTTTAATGGTTTTTTCAGAAATCTACAGTAGATAGACACATAATTGCACACAAAAAGTATCTGTGTAAAATGTAAAAGATTTGTGACAACAAACAATTTTGAAGTAAAAAAGTAAACAGCCAATTAAAATCTGTTAAAATCACTCAGAATAAAACATACATTATTCTTTTCTAAGGAGCTTAGGGTTGACAATATCTTCGTCATAGAGCCAGGGGAGGCAGAAGGCGGTCTGTATGTTTCCTATTGTATATATATATATATATATATATATATATATATATATATATATCGACAAAAACACATTCAAAATCAATTGGACCAATTTTAGGGGTAGAATGCTGAGAACACAAGTTTGAGCACACATAAGTGACCACTCCACCTCCTCTTGACCCTCAATCAATCCTGTATAAAAAGTAACTATCCATTTCAACATCATTATTAGATATGGCACTATGTAACCATGTTTCAGTGACTATAATGATATCAGGTTTATGGTGACTTGCCCAGGCTCTTAGAAGATCTATTTTAGACATAAGGCTTCTAATATTTAAATGAATTATTTTAAGACCTTTATAGGATTTAAAAGTCATCATTATTATTATTAAAGCTTACCATCAGCAATAATAGGGTTACGTGGTGGAAAACGTTGCGAGCACACTGTACATTTAAAGACAAACATAACACAGAACAGAGACAAAACATAAAAAACCAAGCATGTATGTACTGTAAAAAATTCAATTTTGTGATGGTGTAGATCCAGACTACTCTCATAAACATATCAATGCATTAAAGATCAAATCCTTATTTATTTACCTCAATTGTGACAGATAGGCAAAAGTCTACTTTACACATTTACGACAGCAAAAACTGTATACTGCAAACAAAACAAGATATGTTGTGTGTTCTAGCTCAAGCACACCTGGTGACACTAATGAAGCCCTTGATTAGTTGCATCAGGTGTGCTTGAGACTGTTTTGCAGATGTGTGTTGTTGTGAGGGATTGTATTCAGGTGGTGAATAATTTGAGACTGCCGAAGTTAAATGTTGCATTTTCCGTTGAATTTAGGGGAATTCACTTGAAACATTTGTTGTGTTGAGCTATTTAAAATTATTGGTTGTTTGATTTGTTCATTGCGAACAGCTGAATGTCTGTACATTTTGCCTGTAAACCAGATTTGCAATGGGGTTGAATAATTTCGATTACAACTGTATATTGGAACCAATCATATGATACACCTGGTATTTTTGCTGAACATGAGCATTGTTCACATCTTCGGTTTAACAAACCCAGCTTTCATGTCGTCCACAGTTTCTTTACCACCTGACCAGGTCTCGCAGGGAGTGAAGAAGTCCAAATCCTCTCTAGGAGCGAGTCTGGCTGTACTTCCACCCCCGTTTGCATCCAAACTGCACCGATCCGGCATTGCCCAAAGCCAGTCGCTCGGCTCCTTCCCGACTCCGCTGACAGGAGAACCTTTACGCAACATTCAAGTTCTTCCAGCCATTCCTCCGCAGAGAAAACGCAGCCCATCTCCTCTCGCAACCCAGAGGCTACAGAATCATTCTGAGAGCAGAAACTGATGAAAATCTGCCTGACTTGAATGACCAATTATACACTGTAATACTGTTCAACTTTTCATGGGTCATCTGGATTCATTTCAATCATGAAGACACTGAAGAATCACTGTTTGATAAAATTACTTAACAGGCTATTTTTTCACACAATTTTACAACTATGATCTTTTTCTATGGTATGCATATGGTTGAACTTTTAACTCTAACATTCAAACATGCTTTAAGCTTATTGTTTATTGTTCTTATTAATAAAGGAAATTGTTGAACTATCGAATAGCAATAACTTACTAAATAATACACTGCCCAGCCAAAAGATGAAAGTCGCTGTTTGCATTTAAATATGCAAATGCCTAAGAGTCTATGATTGGATTATTTTTACAGTGATTATTATGTTTCTAGCAGGATTGCCAATAACCTAATTGATGGGCAACCATCTACTGTATTTAACCCAAGGGGGTAATCCATCGACCGGAAGTTGAAGCCTCGTGGGAGCTGACATCTTGTAGCAGAACTTCACTTACGTTAGCATTCCCATTGACTCCCATTCATTTTGGCGTCACTTTGATGGCGAATAACGTTACATCTGAGGCGTTTGAAGACCCCATTTGACCTTTATTTATTTCTAAAGAAACACGACAATGTGTAAAATGCTCCATTACCTTGTAACGTGTGTTATGGCCCTGTAGAAGCAGTTTTTGTGAAAGTAGGCTAACGGTTGCGTCATACCCACGGGACTCTCTGTCGCACAGTAGAGAGATTACCGTATGAACAGGAGAAGAAGCTCGCGCGCAATCGGGAAAACGTGGAGGCAAAATGACAAAATAATTAATCAGAATATCTAGCAAAGGTGTCTCCTTCTCCTAGCTCATGGACAGCTCCTATTCACACTCTCCGCCTCTGCATGTTTCGGAAGGGAATGATTCAGATTTCTCATGCCACAGCACTAGAAGACAGACGGGTTGCTCACGTCACATCTACGTCGTCAAACTCTGTTTGAGTCTGCGTGTCAGGGACAGAAGTGCTAAAAAATTGCCAAAAACGGGCGTCAATCGTGTCAATGGAGTTTCAACGAGATCGCTCTGTCCATTTCTTATACTGTCTATGATTTAACCATCATTTGTTTTTGTGTTTTTCTAACCAAACAACAATGCACCTTATGATTAGCCTTGTCACTGAGATATGGTCTGGCAAAGCGTCATAGACGAATCATTTCCAGAGGGGTGTCACCAGCGGACGTCGTGGGTTGACCTAAAACCAACAAGACCGATGAAGGAGATGGCGTATGCAGAGCGGCGGCCGGCGGAGAAACATCTCTGAGTGTTGTTCTTTGCTCGGTTTTTAACAAAAAGGACGCGTTCAAATCGCTTAAAAAAGACGCGAGCTGATTCGAATGAGTGATGTTCGACGGCGGCATCCATCTTTGTAATGTAGGCTACAAAATCTGCTTAAAAATCCCAGCACTGTCGTCATCGTGTAAAGCCCGCGCCAACGTTTCTGATTGGTGCCGCAATTTCTGCGGACTGGAAATGGGTTTGAATGAGCTTTTTGCCAGACTAACTTTCAGAGCAAATCTAAATTTGCCAGAAGTTGTCTGGGTTTTCCCTGGCTACCTTTTGATGGAAATAAGATCACAATATCTATTTCCATCAAGAGGTGCATCAATGTTTGGTAAAGATCTTGTATTGACAGTGCTAGAGTCCAGTACTCAGTACTCCAGCACATCCCAAAGACTCAATTAATTTAAGATCTGGACTCAGACTCACATCAAAGTGTTTAAGGAAGGGTAGGCAATTTTTGGAGCCACTCCAAAGGGCACGCCTCCTAAAAAAACACATGTACACTCACACAGCAGAGTCTGCAAGGAGTCACGAGAGATGGCGTCCTCGCTGCTGAGGAGGATCGTGGTGCTGAGGAGGTCGGGTTGCACAAGGGAGTGATGGTCGCCAAATGTTGCCCGCGGTGATGGTGCTGGAGCAATGTAACAGCAAGTGGGACGGGGACCTCGCTGTTGTGCTCCTGGGTTGAGGAGTGGTGCCAGCCGTCCAAGGCACCGTCCACTCGCCGTTGGCATGCAGCCTGTTACTGTCGGCCATGATGGGGGCGGAGCAGGGAACGGAGAACTCGCTGTCGGCTGCCCTCGACCAGAAGAGCCATTGCTGTCCGCCAGGTGGCGGAGGTGTGTCGAACCGTCCCAGCAGATGTCCAGTACCATCGCATGCCACCACGAGTGAGTCTCTCAGCTGGCTGAGGACCGATTTTTTCGCTCCTCATGCTTCCGTCTCCTTTTTTCTCGCCTTGTCTATCCATGTGATTGGGATCTGAAGGTTGTGAGCGAGGTTGAGGTCAATGAAATTACCTTCAGCTCTGGAGTCCAATTGTGTAGACAGTCGTGTGTGCATGTTGCCCATCTTACCGGGATGGCCCACTTCCCCACAATAGAGGCAAAGTCCCTGAGATCTCCGCCTCTCCTTCTCCTCCCGGGAAAGCTGAGCTCTCCTCACCTGCATGGGCTTGTGATCGAAGGCTCGGCTGACCGTGTCCCTGTCGCTGGTCTGTGGGCTCTCAGCACCCCCAGGTGGCCTGAAATAAAGTAAGCCTGCATGGAACATCTGGTCAGGAAGGATTTGCAATAATTGGGTTTCCTCGAATATGCCTCAGGAACAGGTAGGCGAGGTTCTGACTGGAAGGGCGGCTCCGGTGGTGTGGGTGGCACAGCGGGACCTCTCAAATGTTGGAGTTGCTGGGTGAGCTCGACACACCTGCGCCACTAGAGCCTGCACTGCCCGCCTTGTGTTCGAGATACTCTCTTCCTGTGCATCCATTCTTGTGATGCTGTAGGACATTAACTTGTCTAGAGAGATCGTCGATCCTCCTGCTGCATCCAGATTGTTAGATTGTTGTCCAGACACAAAACACCAATCACAAAGACGTCAGACAGAACAGCAACAGGAACAACACACAAAAAAATCAAACGAGACGAGGAAGAGGGAATTCAAGAACTGTAACAAATATGGATTATTGAATTTTTAATAATGAAAATGTGTGTGAAAGTTTTGAATTGAAAAATTCACAGCTTAACTATATAACCATGTTAAATTTCAGCCCATATATATACAATGCATTAAAATGCAGGCAATAATGCAATACAATTATCAAATTCAACAAGCTTTTTTGTTTCAAAAACATTTGGCATTATTTTATTTGCATAAGAAAGTGTGTATAAAGTGTAGTGGGACTGCTTAAACTGGCTTAAATTAGTTTGGTTTTATCTGGTTTTATACTAGTTTAAACCAGTTCTGTTACCCTGAGTTTGTCCAACATTCAATGATTTTTGGAACTGGCACCTGTCAAAAACAAAAACCCCTGTCACCCTAAAAGTCAAATGATAATGCATGCCGTGAGCGACACCGAGGCAATGGGTTTGATTTTCAGGGAATGTATGAACTGATAAATGTCTTGAATGCAATGAACTGTTAATTGCTGCTTAGGATAAATATAAAATGATCTTAATAATGATCCTAATAATGATCATCTTAATAATGATATTAATAATTATTTTAATATCAAGGAGTACGATAGAGTTGCAAAATGTAAATAAGAAGCAATAGCACAGTGGTTTAGTTTGGTGATCTGACTTATTTATAAATGCAGACAACTTTAATTCTGTCTTATGAACACAAAACAATATTAGCCTATAATTAATTTACATATGCATATACTTTTATAATTAATTACTTATTTTCTTGATTTAGCCTACAGCTTAACTGAGCCAAAAATCGATCTGTCACAGGACAGATAAATTTCACTGTCAAATCCATGGATCTTACACAACTGTCTGGTGCTGAGGGCGATTTGGAGAAGTGATGTTTTTGTTTAAGCAGCTTGCCATAACACGTCCTAAATAAAAGGCTTTTGTCAACAAAGCACCTTCATACATACCATTAAATGTCCCTGGATTGCAAAATACTGTGACAGCAAAAGCATCAATAAAGTTGGTAAACTAAAGTTAATCATTCGATTTTATAACGAGAATAGGGCCCCAAAATAGCATTAATTTGTCTGTCAAAAGCAGTTTCATGTTTTTATTTCTATTTTTTATTTATGTAAATACGCTCAGGAAGCAAGATCGTTTTACAGTGTTTTCTGGCAGTGGGCGAGGACTGACTGGAAATCTAATAGATTATGAATCACGAGGCTTATTTAAATAACCGACCGCTCTGCCGACCAATCACGAGAAGAGTTTCGGTACCGATGAAGTCTTGGTTCTGCGCATGCTCAGAATGCTTCGATCTCTAGAACACAGTAACGTCTTCAATGAACGTGAGCGCGCTTGTAGGTCTTTCCGGATGAATTAATCCTCTGTTCATGAAACCGGAAATAACTGACTCAGGACAGGCAGAACAGACATGTTGACTTGGTCCTCCGCGATGACTTCAAAGTATTAAATTCACTGTAAATCATATAATGTGAACACCTCTAAAGGTAGGAAACCAGTACAATGTCTCCAAATTGTGGTTTTATTATTACTATTCTCTCATTATGATCGTATAATGCCGTTTAGTGTGTTATTTTCAACGTCCGTTAGTTGACAGGGATCGTGTTACTGATATTTATAAAGATAAACTATTGTGTTTGGTAATTCTAGCTCATTAAACAAAATATACTTACTAAATGGATTGTTTTCTGGAGCTTATACAGACTGAATTCATTGCTTCTGAAATAAGTGTAATGCAATTTAATTGGAATTAAAACCAACACTATATTATTAGTCGTGTGTTGGTTTAAGGAGGCTAAAATTGTTCTTTTATAAACTTAAAATTAAATCAAATAAATAGCAAAACAGTGTGATCTGCAATAGAAAATTCTACAACAGATGAATTTATTACTTATGAAATCTCACCATTAGTCTATATTATAATTGATTGGTAAAAAATAATGACGATAATCTGTTTCCAATATTTGCTTTCTTACAGAAAACACAGTTTAAAAAAAACAACAACATTTTTTAGACCCCTCCATAATCGAGTTCCTGTTTAGTTCTAGGCTATGTGTATGTGCATTCAAAACGTATTCTGTATCTGCTTTATTTTCAACATTTATTTTTATCATGTTAATGTTAACTTCAAAAACGTCGGAGTAAATGTTTCTATAATAACACATTGGCTGATGCATCATCATCCAGCATATGCGATACTTGTATCTAAATATGTTACAGTCTAAAAGTATATCCACACTGTGACGTATTAGCGATTTCTAGTTTGCTCTCTAGTCTTCTAAAGCTTTAAGCAGCAGTGTTTTCTCTTGCTGTGTAAATGTATTTGATTAGTTCACGCAAAAATGAAAACTCTGTCAGTAATTACTCTGCCTCATGTTGTTCCAAGATTTCCGAGGTCATTTCATCTGCCGGCGCAGCAAAGTTAGTGAAGACATCGTTGAAATAGTCCAAGTGACTAAAGTGGTTCAACCTTCAGTTTATCAAGCGACGAGAATACTTTTTGTGCACAAAAACAAACAAAAATAATGTCTTTATTCAACGGGCTATATGCACGCATAAATTCCGCATTTGACGCAAGGATGCTCATCCATTTCCGGTTGTGGAGATTAAAGCGGAGGAAAATGGAGGAAAACGGGATTATGGCAGAGTCTTCAAAATTTACTGTCCTCCCGTCTTTGAAACGAAACTTTCATGCGTTTAGATGTAATTTTATATATTGTTATGTTTATTTATTATAATTTTAAAATGAAGCATAAACACAACGAGGGGTGTCTGTTTTATCTGTTTTTGTGACTAACGTTTCTTTAGTATAACCATGGAGTATAAAATTCATTATATATTCTCGGTATTGCATTGTACTCTACGATCGGCGGAAGTTATCGAGCATCCTTAAACCTTCACCGGAAATACCGCCGTGCATAGAGCCCACTACTGATTTTCTTCCGTGTTGGCCTCTTAGTGAGTTCACGAGCGCCACGACACACACACACACTTGGGTTCTTCGGTTAGTATACTGTGAGTGCACATTCTGTAAAATAAAGTGCAACCTTTCATATTGTTCACAATGGTCTCTTCATCATCAGCTCTCAGTGTTAACTGTCACCAATTGCATGTTTCACATGATTAGTTAATTGTTCGCTTCTGATGTCACTTTCCTGTGAGCAAATGACACAAACTGAGGATCAAAATCAGTCAAAAGTTCAAATAGGCGCTATGTTTATTAAGAACCGCCTCCCTCATTTACATGTCGCACACGGAAAAGTAAATAACTAAATAAATACACACGTAGGAATAAACAAATCTATATGAATAAATGAACGCCATAAGTAAATAAATGAAAATTTAATAGATAAAAGATAATGAAACATAAAAATAAATACAGAAATTAATATATGATAATAATATTCAAATTACATTTTATTAAAAATGATTTATATTTGTTTAATCAAGTCATTTATTTCTTTATTGATTGTTCTATTATTACATTTATTATTTTTTTCTATGTATTTTCTTATTTTTAGTTTCTGCAGGTTTGGTCCTCCATAAATGAGTGTTACTTGGTTTGTGATATGTAAGACTGTGTTGAAGAGCAACATTTTGGTCCCCATGAGCTTAGATAAATCATACTAAATTTATTTTTTTTTTTTTTTTTTTTTTTTTGTAAATGTAAAATAGCAGACTTTTTTATTGGTTTAGGGTTAGGGTATAGAAAGTAAAGTTTGTAAAATCATTATTTCTAAGGAGAGTCCTTATAATCTCTCCTTAGAGAGATAAAGTGAACAAAATCCCAATGTGTGTGTGTGTGTGTGTCTGTGTACAGATGTGTGTGTGTCGTGTTTGTGTACAGATGTGATGTAATGACGCAATGACATTGTCGAATCTCCCACAGAAATCCACCAGTACCACTGGAATTAAAAACTTTATTACAAGCTTACCGTTTTGAATCGAGCTAAGGCATGCAGATAGTTTTGAACACTTGCTGGTTTTGTATTTTCTCAAATATGTACTTTGAATAATTTTCAAACCAAAAAAGCTACAGACTGCAGCTTTAAGAAAGTATTTCTATAACTTCCTTCATTATTATAAATCTATTATTTGAATAATGGTGTGAAAATGAACAGGATGCTTATCAGGAGGGAAATAAGGAGCTCAAGTTAGCAGTGGCTCATTAAGAGATTGACAGTTAGCTTTGATGTGTGTGCTGTCTTGGGTTATTTAGATTTTTTTTACCTTGTTTTTAAATTTCATTATCATATTTTTTTTCTGTAAATCAAACAAACTAACTAACACTCTTTTCTAAAATGCCAAATGGCTCACACTGCTGGCAAGACAGGTTTTTATGTCCCCCTGTGGTGAAAATCCAGCTTTTATTGTTAAATCATTGAAAATATCATTTTGGTGGTTCAAGATGAGTTTTAAAGGATAAAATGATTGACTACAGGGGGACTTTAAATAAAACTTGGCTATCTATTCAGTATAAAGGTGAAAACATTTTTTGATGCTACATTAATAGAAAAGAGCTGTAGAGTGTGTTTGCCAAAAGTTCAAAACCATTCACTTTTGATTTTCGCTCATTTGTTCATCCGAAACAATGATACAAAAATATGCAAGTTTTATCTGGAGCTTCATAGAAGCCCTGAAGCTTTTATATACACTACCGACATTGTAACTATACTAAGCTGGTTAAAAATGGGCAAACTTTTAAATGTGGATGAGTAGACGTTTCCAGTAAAGGGGATGACCTGAAAAGTCTTATGTAAGATTAGATTTAGATAATTTTGGGTTTATTTGGGCTTATACGCTGTATTACTTATGCACTATATACTCATCAGTGCACTGAGTGCAGTGTTTTGAATTTTTTAAGATTATAAAAACATTTTCCTCAATCCTCAGTTAATTATATGCATCATCCAGGAGGTATTTAAAGTGGTCTTTTTCTTTTTGTAATTTTCAGTGTGAACTCACTACACAAAACGGCATAGAATAGCAGTAGCACCTCATTGCAGTACACAAGATCGAGGGGGCGGAGTTAGATCCAGATCTAAAGGGGTGGAAATGGGTAGGATAAGGGGTGGGGCTAGGGATCAGGGGTGGAGATGGCTAGATTAGGGGTTTGGGAGGGTGGGGTTAGGAATCAGGGGTGGAGATGGTAGGATTAGGGGTGGGGTTAGGGATCAGGGGTGGAGATGGCTAGGATTAGGGGTGGGGTTAGGGATCAGTGGTGGAGATGGATAGGATCAGGGGTGGGGTTAGGAATCGGGTGGAGATGGGTAGGATTAGGGTGGGGTTAGGGATCAGGGGGGGAGAATGGGTTAGGATTAGGGGTTAGGTAGGGATCAGGGGTGGAGATGGAATAGGATCAGGGGGTGGGGTTAGGAATCGGGTGGAGATGGGTAGGATTGGGGGGGGTTAGGGATCAGGGGTGGAGATGGGTAGGATTAGGGGTGGGGTTAGGAATCGGGTGGAGATGGGTAGGATTGGGGGTGGGGTTTAGGATCAGGGGTGGAGATGGGTAGGATTAGGGGTGGGGCTAGGGATCAGGGGTGGAGATGGCTAGGATTAGGGGTGGGGTTAGGAATCAGGGGTGGAGATGGGTAGGATTAGGGGTGGGGTTAGGGATCAGGGGTGGAGATGGCTAGGATTAGGGTGGGGTTAGGGGATCAGGGGTGGAGATGGATAGGATCAGGGGTGGGGTTAGGATCGGGTGGAGATGGGTAGGATTAGGGGTGGGGTTAGGGATCAGGGGTGGAGATGGGTAGGATTAGGGGTTAGGGTTAGGGATCAGGGGTGGAGATGGATAGGATCAGGGGTGGGGTTAGGAAGTGGGTGGAGATGGGTAGGATTGTGGGGTGGGGTTAGGGATCAGGGGTGGAGATGGGTAGGATTAGGGGTGGGGTTAGGGATCAGGGGGGAGATGAGTAGGATTAGGGGTGGAGTTAGGATCAGTGGTGGAGATGGGTAGGATTAGGGGTGGGGTTAGGATCAGGGGGGAGATGGGTAGGATTAGGGTGGGGTTAGGGATCAGGGGTGGAGATGGGTAAGATTAGGGGTGGGGTTAGGGATTAGGGGGGGAGATGGGTAGGATTAGGGGTGGGGCTAGGGATCAGGGGTGGGGTAGGGATCAGGGTTAGGGATCAGGATTAGGGATCAGGGGTTAGGGATAAGGGGTGAAGATGGGTAGTATTAGGGGTGGGGTTAGGGATCAGAGGTGGAGATGGGTATGTTTAGCTATATGTAAGGTAGGAGGAGTTGGATCTGGATCC